AAGCTCTGACATCCCGTATGGGCACCAGTTTGTGTCCTGGCTGCTGCACTTCCCATCCAGCTCCCTGCCTGTGGCCTGGGAAAGCAGTAGAGGATGACCCAAAGACTTGGGACGCTGCACTCATGTGGGAGACCTGGAAGAAGATCCTGGCTGCTAGCTTTGGATTGGCTCAGCTCTGACTGTTGCAGCCACTTGGGGAGCAAACCAGCGGATAGAAGATTTTCCTCTCTGTGTCTCCTCTCTGTAAATCTGGCTTTCCAATAAAAAATAAATAAAGCTTAAAGCAGATGACAAACAAGCAAAAAAGAAAAATGTTCACACCGTATGTAACCTTTGAAAAGCTTTTCCTGAAAGCCCTACTCTAGGCCGGATTCTGGCTTTTCCATCCTGGTAGCTGTTTCTGTGTAAGTCAGTGTAGCTAGAAATACAGAGGTCTCGGGCTCTTCAACATCTGTGTAGATTGGACTATGTGGACCCATGGCCCGTAATTACCTAACTCCTCCCCTGTCGATGGACATTTAGGTTATTTCCAGCTGCTTACTGGTTGCATTTTAAAGGTCTAAAATTTCCCTAGTAAGCATATCCTTCTCCTCTCCCTGTAAGTGCCTGATCGTTGAGTGAAGCAGATCCCTTTGGAAAGTTGTGGCTATTTTACGTTTGAGAGGCAGAGCAACAGAGGGAACCAAGAGAACTTCCCATGCACTGGATCACTTCCTGAATGCCCACCACGGCCAGGGCTGGGCTGGGGCCAAAGGCAGGGGCTGGGAACTCAATCCAGCTCTCTGCTGCGGATGATGGGAGCCTAACTGCTTCAGCTGTCACTGCCGCCATTCAGGGTCTGCACTGAAAGAAAGCTGCACTTGGGAACCGGAGCCAGGCATCAAAACCAGACCGCTAATGTGAGGCATGGGTGTCTGAACCATTAGGCTAAGCACTTGTAAGTTTTCTAATATGTTCTTACAGATTCTTTTTTAAAATGTATTTATTTATTTTATTTATTTTTGAATTCCTTGTTTTATGACGCAGTTTCATAGACACTGGCGTCTCCCCTCCCCCATTGTTTTCCCCTCCAGTCTTTCAATGTGCCTTTCTAGTACGCTCGGATGTCCATCGTGCTGCCATTGAGGTGTCTCCCAGCAGTGCAGGCTTGTCTGTCGTCCCGCTGTGAGACCATCCTTTGTATTGCATGTACAGGGATACACTTCTCTCTGTGCCTATGGACATATTTATTTCCGCTATGCTTCCATTATACCTCCCCTTAGGTACAGTCCACCATGGGTTGATAAGGAAAAAAAAATTTTTTTAAGGATTTATTTGTATTGCAAATTCAGATATACGGAGAGAAGCAGAGACAAAGAGGAAGATCTTCCGTCCATTGATTCACACCCCAAGTGGCCACAACAGCATAGTGGCACCCATCTGGAGCCAGGAGCCTGGAGCCTCTTCCAACTCTCCCATGCGGGTACAGGGTCCCAAGGCTTTGGGCCATCCTCAACTGCTTTCCCAGGCCACAGGCAGGGAGCTGGATGGGAAGCAGGGTTGCTACAATTAATGCCAGCACCCATATGGGATCCCGGCACATGCAGGGCAAGGACTTTAGCCACTGAGCTACCGCACCGGTTCCAAAATTTTAAATAAAATAAAATAGTCTTGGGCCCGGCGCGGTGGCGCAAGTGGTTAAGTCCTCGCCTTGCACGCCCGGGATCCCATATGGGCGCCGGTTCTAATCCCGGCAGCCCTGCTTCCCTTCCAGCTCCCTGCCTGTGGCCCGGGAAGGCAGTCGAGGACGGCCCAAAGCTTTGGGACCCTGCACCCGCGTGGGAGACCCGGAAGAGGCTCCTGGCTTCAGATCGGCATAGTATCGGCCCGTTGCGCTCACTTGGGGAGTGAATCATCGGATGGAAGATCTTCCTCTCTGTCTCTCCTCTCTGTATATCCGCCTTTCCAATGAAAAATAATAAAAATAAATCTTTAAAAAAAAAAAAAAAAAATAGTCTTCATCCTCATGGTGTTGTTGAACTCGCAAAGTTTTTTTTTTTTTTTTTTTTTTTTTTTAATTGGAAAGGCATATTTTACAGAGAGAAGGAGATACAGAAAGATCTTCCATCCACTGGTTCAGTCCCCCAAATGGCCAAAATGGCCAGAGCTGAGCTGATCTGAAGCCAGGGGGCAGGAGCTTCTTTTGGGTCTCCCACGCGGGTGCAGGGTCCCAAGGCTTTGGGCTGTCCTTTTCTGTTTTCCCAGGCCGCAAACAGGGAGCTGGATGGGAAGTGCAGCAGCCAAATGTGAACCAGCACCCATATGGGATCCTGGCACCTGCTTGGAGAGGCTTAGCTAGTTGAGCCTTCATGCTGGGCCCAGATTTTTTTTATTTTTCCAAGATGCAGGCAGGGAAAAAAAGAAAGGAAACTTTCATGTATTGGAACTCATTTCTCCGGGCCCCAAAGAATCGATGTTTGATTTCATTGTAGGAAGCCAGAACTACTTGTTGTTGAGACAAGGCTAGGGGGCTGCGGTCAGACTGCTCTGCACGTTTCTCTCCTCAGTTTGCTGGTTGTCTTGTACATCTGAGTCCACATAGCGCTCGGGGAGCAATATCTCTTTGTATTTGTGTGAATTCTGCAGGTACCTTCCACAAGAAGCTGTTTGCTTCTCAGCTCTTTTTTTTTATTTATTCAGTTTCATTTTCTGTGAAAGGCAGTCAGAAACAGTGATCTTCCATCAGCTGGCTCACCCCCCAACTAGCCAGAAAGGCCAGGTCAAAGCCAGGAGGTTGGAACTCCATCTAGGCTTCCCTTGCAGGTGGCAGGGACCTGACTCCTCCTCCCAGGATACACCTTAGTAGGGAGCGGAATCTGAAGCAGAGTAGCCAAGGCGCGAATGTGGCACTGTGCAATGGGATGTGGGCATCTCAAGCATGAATTTAATTATTGCTGCATATGTCAGCCCCATGTTTCTGAAAGCTTTGATTGCTGTGCCTCGTGTTCTTAAATTCACTGCAAATAAGTAGTGATGGGAAGAAGGGAGTAGCTTCACCTTGAGACCCTCACTTCCTGGGTGCAGGTCCCTCGGGAGAGGATGGAGGGCAGCCAGGGCCTCCTGAGGAGCTCTGATGGATGCTGTCTGCTCCCCTATTTCAGAAGGTTCCAATCTCTGGCCTCTGGCTTGTTGGTGTCTGGAAGACACTGTCAGGGTTTCCTGCATGATCGAATCATGTCTCAATTTGTCTCTCATTTTTGTGGTTGAATAATCCAAAGTGGGTAAATAAAAATTAATGTTGGAATTTGTATGCTAATTTAGCTTTCAATTGGGTTTTGTTTTGAGCATTATTGAAATTAATCTGTGTTCTGTGAGCACATTCCACTTATTGGCAAAGCACCATGGCCCCCAAATTACAGTTGGGGGGTAATTCAGAAGATGGATCATCTACATCAAGATAATGGAAAAGTTTATCTTTAAACTTTTATCAAAATGAGGAAATGATATTCAATGTTATCCAGAGTATGGAAAGGAAAACGCTTCAGGGCCCGGCAAGGTAGCCTAGTGGCTAAGGTCCTTGCTTTGCATGCACCGGGATCCCATATGGTGTCGGTCTAATCCTGGTGGTCCCGCTTCCCATCGAGCTCTCTGCTTGCGGCCTGGGAAAGCAGTCGAGGACGGCCCAAAGCTTTGGAGCCCTACACCTGCCTGGGAGAGTTGGGGGAATGTCCTGGTTCTTGGCTTCGGATTGTCTCAGCTTCGGCTGTTGCGGCCATTTGGGGAGTGAATCAGTGGATGGAAGATCTTCCTCTTTGTCTCTGCTTCTCTCTGTGTATCTGGCTTCCCAATAAAAGAAAAAAAGTAAGTTTTTTTTTTTTTAAAAAAAAAAAAAGGAAAATGCTTCAATCAGAATGCTGCCTCAAGGAAATAAATGTTCTCTTGTCTTTGTGCCTTTTTGCACCTGGTCCATTTGCATGTCTGTCCTCTTGGATTAGGGCAAGCTTTGATTCTGATTCTGACTGCAGCTTACTGTCCACATGGCACTGGGCAGTTTAGCTCTCCAAGCCTCAGCTATAGAATTTGTCATTGTAGTTACAGGACTGAGTTCCAGCCACGTGGGGCATGAACCACATATGGCACAGGGCCGCTGCATTTCTCTGTGGTGTCTCAGACTATCCAGAAACTAACCCCTTCCTTGAGGCAACTGATCTCTAATTCATAACCAGGACTTATCAGGCTCCCCTTCTAGAGAGAGCCAGAGTTTGAGTACATGCAACATACCTTGCTCTTTCTTTTAAGTTATTCTTTTCTTTTGCTTTATTTATTTATTTAAAAGAGATCTTCTATCTACTGGGTCTCTCCAGATGATCATGAGAGTTACAGCTAGGGCCAGCTTGAAGCCAGGAGCCTGGAATGCCGTACTGGTCTCCCATGTGGCTGGCAGAGCCACAAGTACTTGCTGCCTTCCTAGGTGTATTAGTGAGCAGCTGGATCAGAGGCACAGCACACGGGGCTCCTCAAGCACTATGTGATATCAGATGCCGGCTTTGCAAGTGTTGGCTTAACTGGTGCCAGCACTGGTCCTTCTTTGTTTAGTGTGTGTGTGTGTGTGTGTGTATGTGTATGTGTGTGTTTTGTAGTTTTTATTTTATTTGAAAGGTAGAAACAGAGACACATGCAAAGATTTTTCATACAATTGTTCATTCCCCAGATGCCTACAGCAACTGGAGTTGGGCTAGGCCAGAGCCAGGATCTCTCTCTGGATCTCCTACATGAGCGGTAGGGACCCAAGTACCTGAACCATCATGTTACCTCCCAGGATATGGTGTTGTCAGGAAACTATTTGAAAATGAGGAGCCTGGACTTGAACCAACCACTGCCATATGGGCTGCAAATGTCCCACACAACAACTTAACTACTGCTTGGAGCTGGATTTCATAGGCAGAAACTTGCACTGAGCTTGCTCACATGCAGTGCTATCCAGTGTTGAGTCCTGTGTTGCCTTTGTTGTGCTTTCCTAGGCCAAGCCCAGCATTCGGTGTTTCACTAAACCTCCCGAGACACTGGAACGGTCCCTTGAGATGAACAAGCACAAGGGCAAGAGGCGGGCACAAAAGAGACCCAATTACAAAAACGTTGGGGAGGAAGAAGACGAGGAGAAGGGGCCCACTGAGGATGCCCAGGAAGATGCCGAGAAGGCTAAAGGTACAGAGGGTGGTCCTGCAGGCATGAAGACGAGTGGGGAGAGTGAAGGTGAGTGCTCCCAGGAATACCCCAACACCCGACCCCCGGCCCCACTGAGGCTGTGTCCATGTCCCCTCTGTCATGCTGTCCCACGTCTGTCCACTGGGTACCCTGTTATGTCTCATGAGCACCTGTGCAGCTCATTCTGGCTTGCAGCCATTTGGAGGCAGCTATGACCCATGGCAGAGCAGTTGTGGGGCAAGTCCCACCCTCTCAGTAGGTGATCTGGAGTGAGATTTCGCTTCACTATCAGGAGGGTCACTAACAGTCCCCACTCTGCAGTGTTAATGTGAGAATGATGTGACTCACGGTTCATAAGTCGTAAACTGCGTCCAACAGTGCCTGGCCCTTGTCAGGTTCTCATTGGTGTTTGTGGCTGGTGCCAGTTGTATCATCATCATTGTCGTCACTGTTGCTGCTGTTACAATTCCTAACAACTTGGTATTACGATTAGTGTGCAACACACTGTATGAAGCACACATTTGATGAAGTTATGTGCTTTTCAGAGATTATGTATTTTTGAAATCACGTGATCAAGAGTAATCCCTTAGATTCTCACAAGATTTTGCAAGTCTTGTCTGCTCAGGGTGTGGTACACTTGTCTGTGGTCACAAGCATTCAGTAAACAAAATTATGATTTCCTCTTTTGCCCTGATTTGGGCTGTTTTTTTTTTTTTTTTCCCACCACCTCATTGAGAAGCTAAAACCTCCCTGGATTAAAGAGCATTTACTCTGGTATCAAGCAAACTTGAACAATTGTTTGTGTCATGGGCCCTGCTCACAGCCATACAGATGGGGGTCTCTGACTGTGGCCCCAAGGCAGTGGAAGATGGGAAGGTGGTGGGAGGTGCTGCATGATAGATGCAAGTGGGGTGAGGGGACCCTGGTAGGTGGGAGGAAGGCCCAGCCATATCTCATGGGCCAAGTTCATGTAACCGAGAGATTTGAGTGGCATTGGACCCAGCACCACCAGACTCACTTCTGGCCAACTTGACACTCCCTCTTGCACCCCCAGTGTGGCAAAGGAGCTTGCCTCTCCTGTGGCTGGAGTGTAAGTCCTGGGGCTGATAAACCTTGAGAGGTGAGAGGGGCATGCATCCATGCCTGCCACGCTCCATGGAGAGATGTGCTGTGTTGGTTGGCCAGGCCTGGGTCACATGCTTGCCTTGGTGCAGATCCTAGAGAGAACAGGTGTTTGTAGCCAGACATTTTGAATGCTGGCATTACAGAAACAGGACCTCCTGCAACTCCCCCTACCTTGAATTGCATCTTCTGGGTACCCTTCACCTCTCTTAAGGTCATCTCCTCCCTCCCTGCTGTGAGGTGAACAAATGGCTGTTTCCACCTCCATCTTGTTTCTTCTCACAAAAACTGCTTTCCTTGTCCCTGCATCTAGGGGCTTATCAACTGCTTGTAGTAGACACAGGTATCCCTGGGGAGAGAGATACTGGCCCCTGGTTATTCCGCGCATCCCCCCCCCCATTATTGTTGGAAAATTTTGACTTTTAAAAAGCCCAAAAGCAGGAGTCAGGATAGCATGTCTAATGACCCGATTTGAATGTGGCTTCAATGTGTGTTCTTTTCCTGAAGGCAGCCCCAGGATTCACACCTCCTCCACATTCAAACCAGATGAGGAGTTGTGTGAAATGAATGTGAGCCCCAAACCCCTCTACTGCTGTCCCTAGTTGGCAAAGAAGTTTTCCTTGCTTCAAGTCTCAGTAATGGGTGACTCATTCTAAAACCAAGAAATCACAGGACCCCTAAATGTGCAGAAATTTAATTTCAAAAGGAAGAAGAGGGATGTCTCAGTCCCTGTGTCCAAAGAAGAACTCGCTTTTCCCAGGAAGCCAAACAGCCTGGGGCACATGTGCACTTCTTGGCTTGCCCTGCAGTCTGAGGCGACAGCCATTGCTTTTTTGGACTCATTTAGAGCAATAATTTAATATAAAGCAAACTGAGATAAGAGATTCAATGGTTGGAAATATTTGTTTGAAAAATAGAGTTTGACTTTTGTGTCTTGACGGCGGAGAAAGGCATTCTTGCACAGCCTCACCTTCAGACTCTGCTCCTTTCTTGTGACTCCAGAAAGGGCACGCGCAGAGCGAGGGCAACAGGACTGGCTTTGGACCTTCCAGGGCAACTTGACTCCACGGTGTCCTTGGGAGTTTGGAGTACCAGTTTTGGCTTCCTCCACCCCCCACCACAAATCTATTAGATGCCCTCTAATGAAAGGGCATCTGGCCTTGTTTCCGGCACCTCTTAAAACCAGGGACTGACTGTTGGGACTTTCGGAGATGAGTTTCATTGTACCCCTTTGCGGCTGTATGATGATATATGCAAGTGAGCACTCTCTGTGCTTTTCCCCTGTAGAGGGAACTTTTGAATGCCCAGCCTTTGGGTTATCCTATATTTGAGAATAATCACACTGTGAGAAAAAAAAGACATAAAGCCCTGGGGGAAGTCCTGCCCCAGATGAGAGCAGAGGGGCTGGCACTATGGCATAGAAAGAGGTCTCATCCTCTATGTGCGGTGCAGGCATTGCCTGTGGGCACTGGTTCGTATCCCGGTGCTCCACTTATGATCCAGCTCCCTGCTGGTGTCCTGAGAAAGCAGTGGAGAATGGTTGAGGTCCCTTGGGCCCCTTCACATACATGGGAGACCTAGAGGAAGCTACTGACTTTGGATCAGCTCAGCTCCAGCTGTTGTGATAATTTGGGGAATAGCCAATGAAGGATCTCTCTGTCTTTCCTTCTCTTTCTGTAAAACATTTCTTGCAAATAAAAATAAATAAATCTTAAAAAAAAAATAAATAAAGGCAGAGCTATATTTAAGTCAGTTGGATGGATTCTCTGCTTGGGCACCCTGACAGATTTCTATGGGACCCACTTCTTTTCACTTCTGAGGTTAGTAAGCAAGCAGTATGTGTGTCCTGCTGTTGCAAGGAAGGTGGGGGGGGGGCAGGGAGATGTGGGGCTGCCAGCACCCCAGGAGCCTTAGCTAGTATAAGAAGCAGGAGGACTGAAGGTGGGTTAGGACAAATCTTCTTAAGAGCAGCTTCCCAGAAAGCCATTTGGATCCGTCCCCTGGCTCTTCAGGGGAAGGCAATGAAAAGCAAAGGAAAGGCCCCTGAGTCCTCTGTGCACGCTCACAGTTAGTGCCACAGAGGCCACTCGGCTCCACAGCCAGCCAATAATACACAGTCCTTCCTCATTACCTAGGTAACCAGCAGTGTGTCGGTACCCCTTTCCTTAGCCTGCCTTTGAAAGACCTCTTCCCTTTGCTTAGCATCTGTCCTTGCCGTGGTTTCTGGAACAGAGAACACACAGCAATTGAGAAAATCCTTGAATCTTTTAAGTCAAAGACAGGAGGTCATGCCTGTCATTTCCCTGAAAAGCACTTCATTTACCAAATATTAATCAGATTAGAATGTGCATTGTCCCTGGCAGGTTAATGAATTACTGCTGTTTGAAAAATCAGTGTGTCAGAGAACTAAGGAAACTCAAGGATGGCCAGAATTGTCATCTCAAGAGAGAGAGGACCCATGTGCGTGGGTCCTGGGGGTGCCCAGGCCTATGCTGGCATGCCCTGGCTCCTCCCAGCTCAGCTGCTGCCTGCATGACTAATAGATGTGGCCTTTCCTGCCTTTTTAAAAACAATTGTAATAAAATACGCATAGCATACAATTTACTGTCAAAGCCATTTTTTAAAATTAGGCATAGAGAAGTTTCTAAAAAATATTTTAAAAGCTTTATTTATTTGAATGACAAAATATCTGAGAAAAGAAAGAAAGGTCTGTCATAACCATTTAAAATTATGTATTGGGAAGTTTGAACAAAATGTTTTAGAAGATTTATCTATTTGAAAGAAACAGTATCAGAGAAAGCAGGAAAGGCAGAACGGTTTTCCATTTGCTGGTCCATTCCCTGAATGGCTGTACTAGCCAGGGGTGGACCAGGCTGAAGCCAGGAACCAGGAAATCCATCCAGGCCACCCATATGGGTGGCAAGAACACAGGTACTTCAGCCATCATCTGCTGCTTTTCCAGGTGCATTAGCAGGTAGCGGGATCAGAAAGTAGAGCAACCAAGACTTGAACCAGTGCTCCAGTGTGGGATTCCCATATTGCGAGTGGTGGTTTGTCCTGTTGGGCCACAACATTGCCCCCAGGGTACAGTTTGCTAGTGTGAAGGGTAGTCAGTGTGTGTAAACTCAGAGTCCCCACAACTCTTGCCTTGAGAACTGAAACTGTTCCCTGAAATGGTCACTCCCTGTTTCCTCTCTCCCCGGCCTCTGGTAGTCACCGTTCTGCCTCCTGTCTCTGTGGGTTTAACAACATCTGGAACCTCACATAAGTGCAGTCATAGTATTTGTCTTTTTGTATCTGGCTTACTTCACTTGAAATAATGTTCTCAGATTCATCCATGTTGTAGCATGGGTCAGAATTTCCTTCCTTTTTAAGACTGAATAATATTCCATTACGAGTGTACTACACTTTATCTGTTTGAAATTTCCAACAAACCACATTCTGGTTGTATTCCTGAATTAAAGATATTCTTTTGATGTGCACTGGACTCCTGTTACCTGTGTGGGAGACCTGGATGGAGCTCCTGACTCCAGGCTGCTACCAGCCTAGCGCCCGCGACTCCTAGCATCTGGGGCTGACCCTGCAGATAGAAAATCCCTCTGTGTCTCTCCTCCTTTTCAAATAAAAACAAATGCATAAACTTTCAAAAAAAAAAAAAAGATACTCTTTGAGGCATACTTTTTCTCCAGAGTGAGATCCAGGCCAGTCAGTCGCCACATCTACAGCCTGCTTTACTTTGGGACATCTCCTTGACTTGGACTACATTCACCTTTCTTGAAGAATTCGGAGCCTCCCGCTTTGTTCTGAAAAAGTATTGCTCGTCTTGTTTCTGCCTGGTGTTACCCAGGCTTAGATCAAGGCTCTGGACTCAGCCTTGG